AGAACCTCTGCCCCGGGGGCCTCTAGGCTTTGCCCCAGCCAGGCGGGGCCTGTCTGAGTGAGGCAGTAACCCTGTGTCAACCCTCTCGCTGACTGCACACCCGTGAGGCTAACGAGCAGCGGACAGTCAAGGTGTGTCATCTGTTCCTTGTCCTGAACTCGCCTTTGGTGTAATTAAAAAGGGACCACTGCCCTGGCCAGCTTGGCTTAGTGGAGAGAGCGGCAACCTGCGGACTGAAGGGTCCCAGGTTCCACTCCGGCCAAGGGCACATGCCTGGGTTGCGGGCTCCATCCCCAGTAGGGGGCGTGCAGGAGGCAGCCGATCAATGATTCTCTTCTCCCTTCCTCTCTGAAATCAATAAATAATATTTTAAGAAATAATAATAATAAAAAAAAACCCAACTATTGGGGACTCACTGTGTGTTCACACGTGAATGTGAACTTGCTATGTCAGCTAGTTCACTATTTGGCTTTCCTCCAGTGGCCCACCTTCCCTGGCAGCCCTGTGTTAGTCGTCACCAGTGCTCAGATGATCCAGGCAGCAGGTAGAAGATGTCATCAGGGGCCTGTCAGGTCCACGATCTATCTTTGCCATCCCAAAGTTGGAAAGGCATGTTCTTATGTTACAAATGCAACCAAACGTTATTTGCACTAAAAACACTGCAGGTATTTGTTGTAAGAGCTTTCTGAGCCCCATCCTGAAAGATTCTGGGTTAGTAGGCCTGGCATGGGGATTAGGAATTGTTCAACATCAGCTGCAGACCCACTTTGCCAAGCACTCTGTTCATTCCAGCTGACCCTCACGAGAGGTTCTGCTTTGTGCTCGGCATTTGAGTACAGGAAGCCTAACTTGGGTTCTGGTTACATTTATGAACCAGGAAGCCTTATTAGATACCAAATCTGCCAGAGCCTGGATTTTGAACTTCCCAGCCTCCAGACTGTGAGAAATACAAGCCACTAGTATTTTGCGATAACAGGACTAAGTCATCCTCCCTCACTCTTTACTCTAAAGTAGCTACCTAGTCCCTTGTTATGACTCCATCCTTTTAATTTTCGACATAGCAGTTATTTGATATATTTCTTACATATTTGTTGGTGTATTTATTATTTATCTTTCCCACTTATCCTTGAAATACTGTGAAAACTTTCCTATGTAAATTACCTTTGGATCCCGAGTGCCTAAAATGTTGTCTGGCACATATTGGCAGTCAGTGAATCTTTGGTGAATGACAATGACGGGCAGAAATAAGTGTTCTAGCAGTAGTTTTAGGGTGTGTCATACAATGCCCTAGGCCCTGTTTTGTTCAGTGGATAGAGCATCAGCCTGCAGACTGAAGGGGCCCAGGTTCAATTCTGATCAAGGGCACATGCCTGGGTTGTGGGCTTGATCCCCAGTAGGGGGAATGCAGGAGGCAGCTGATCAATGATTCCCTCTTATCACTGATGTTTCTATCTCTCTCTCCCTCTCCCTCCCTCTCTGAAATCAATAAAAATATATTAAAAGAACACACAAAAAAACCAAGAGTCTCATACATGTTCCAGCAGTAGTTTTAAAGAGTGTCCTGGAAGCACAGAGGAAAGAGCATTTTTGGGTTTGATAATCTTTTTTTTTTAATATATTTTTTATTGATTAAGATATTACATATGTGTCCTTGTCCCCACATTACCCCTACCCCCCCCCCCCCCCCCGCTCATGCCCTCACCCCCCCGTTGTCCATGTCCATTGGTTAGGCCTATATGCTTGCATGTAAGTCCTTTGGTTGATCTTTCCCCCTTACCCCCACCCTCCCCTACCTTCCCTCCAAGGCCCGACAGTCCAATCAATGCCTCTCCGTCTCTGGATCAGTCCTTGTTCATCAGTTTATGTTGTTCATTATATTCCACAAATGAGTGAGATCATGTGGTATTTATCCGCTCTCCAGTTCCATCCATGCTGTGGCAAATGGTAAGAGTTCCTTTTTCTTCTTCCTCTTCTTAAAGAATACCTTTCAGCATTTCATATAATGCTGGTTTGGTGGTGATGAACTCCTTTAGCTTTTTCTTATCCGTGAAGCTCTTTATCTGATCTTCTATTCTGAATGATAGCTTTGCTGGATAAAGTAATCTTGGTGGCAGGTTCTTGCTATTCATCACTTTGAATATTTCTTGCCACTCTCTTCTGGCCTGCATGGTTTCTGTTGAGAAATCAGCTGACAGTCGTATGGGTACTCCCTTGTAGGTAACTGACTGTCTTTCTCTTGCTGCTTTTAAGATTCTCTCTTTGTCTTTTGCTCTTGGCATTTTAATGATGATGTGTCTTGGTGTGGTCCTCTTTGGATTCCTTTTGTTTGGGGTTCCCTGCGCTTCCTGGACTTGTAAGTCTATTTCTTTCACCAGGTAGGGGAAGTTTTCTGTCATTATTTCTTCAAATAGGTTTTCAATATCTTGCCCTCTCTCTTCTTCTGGTACCCCTATAATTCTGATGTTGGTATGCTTGAAGTTGTCCCAGAGGCTCCTTACACTATCTTCATATTTTTGGAATCTCTTTTCTTTTTTCTTTTTTGGTTGGGTATTTTTTGTTTCTTTGTATTTCAAATCTTTGACTTGATTCTTGGGATCCTCTTGTCTGCTGTTGGATCTCTGTAAATTATTCTTTATTTCAGTCAGTGTATGCTTAATTTCTAGTTGGTCCTTTTTCATGTCCTCCATGGTCTCACTATACTTATTGAGGGACTCACTAAATTTATCGGCGGTTTCCATAAAATTCTTGAAAAACCTTATAAATGTGGCCTTGAACTCTATATCCAGTCGTTTGCTTTCCTCCATTTCTGCCATTTGTGACCTGTTTCTTTGTCTCTGCATTTTGGCTGCTTCCCTGTGTTGATAGAGTGGCTTTGTGTGCTAGGTGTCCTGTAGGGCCCAGTGTCTCAGCCTCCCCAGTTACCTGAGGTGGACACTCTTGGTGCACCCCCTTGTGGGCTTTGTGCACAGTCTTGTTGCAGTTATGCCTTGGTTGTTGTAGGATCACTGGGAGGAATTGACCTCCAGGCCAATTGGCAGTGAGAATCAGCTGTGTCTGCAGTGGGAGAACTTCTGTGCTGGAGACACCCTTCTGGGGCAAAGACTTGATTCAATGGGGCTTTGGTGCTCACTGAGACTGCACCCTCTGACCACTGGGTACAGTGGCTCTTGGATCTAAGGAGGTGCTAATTTAGCCTCTGCCTGAGGTTACACTGCAGGAGCTACAAAGAGAACTGCAGATTCTCCTTCCTTTTTTGGAGTTTGGAGGTGCCCTGATGAGGCCCAGCTGTGAAGCAATGCAAGCCGCTGTGGGGCCTTGGGCCTTCTCTTGGAAGTTCTGGGTCTGTCTGGCCCAGCTGCAGTTAGGTAATTATCAGGTTGCAAAGGGCTGGGGCATTCATATGCAAAAGCCTCTGCCACAGCCTGGGTGGGGCGGGGTCTCAAGGAATCAAAGGGCGGAGCAAGCAGCTATGGCGGATCCTTAGCCCTGCCCTAAGGAGTCGCGCGTCTCAGTGTCCTGGTAACGGCTGCAAGCACCTCTGAGGGAAAGCCGCCCTCAAGTTCGCCCGCTGCCAGACAGTCCAGTTTCTCCCCGTATGAGTCCTGGGTCCCCAGAGACTTCCCGGAACCGGAGTTCAGAGCCGTCGGGAGCTTGTGACTCCCTCCGGATTCAAAAAGACAGCCACGTCCTCAGGTGCCAGCCCCTTTCTGCATGCGCGAGCCCCCGTACCTCTGCACTTTACTTCTGCAGCTCCTCTGGCTCTCAGTGTGCTTTTCTTTCCTTCTAGTTGTAGAATTTACACTCAGCTAGCTTTCTTGTAGTTCTGGATGATGTCCGTTTTGTATTTTTCAATTGTTGTGGGAGGCAGCAATTTCCCGGTGTTTATCTATGCCGCCATCTTAGTTTCTCCTCGGGTTTGATAATCTTGACACTATATCAGGTAATTGCTTCCTGGAGCTGTCATATGGACGGAATTGATGAATGGCTCTTATGTGCTCTGTGATGTGGTCTAAGATAAACAGTCTCCTGACAGAATCTAAATACACACCAGTCCTCCTGCCAACAATCATCCATTACTAGTTGCCACCAGAATTCTTTCTCTCTTTTTGAAATGGTCTAAAATCCACCTCAGCTCTCCCTCTGTAAGGCACAGAGCATCCTTCACAACCTCACTGTGTATTCATGGCCCCAACTTCCCTCACCCACTGCCCCTTCCCCACAGCTCAAAGGCAGGTTTCAGATCATCGCCTCTCAGTAGTTGTGGGGCAGGGATGTTTTAATGCTTTTCAGCCCACAAATACCTGTCCATCACGGAAATGCCCACCTGAGTTCCTAAATCTGGGCTGCTTCTGGAACTTCTGCAGTCTGCCTATGGAACCCCATCTTCTCCATTTTCTCTTAGCCACATTTTGTCCCTGGGGTATTTACCCTTGCTCTAGTGGACCACAAAGTGTAGACACCCTCTTGTTGTTGTCTTTGGCTAGTTCTTGCCTGGAGCCCTGAAAAGAGGCCCCTGCTGCTTAAGGTGGGATCTGTAGATGGCAGCATTGGCCTCACCTCGGAGCTTATTAGAACTGGAGACTCAGACCTCCTACAGCAGAATCTGCATTTGAACTCAATCCCCAGCCAATGAGCATAAAAGTGTGAGAAGCACTGGTGTAAAATACATATTGGCATTGTCTGACAGGTGCAAAGGTGCTATTGAGACTCCGTACCTGTGAGTCAAAGCCCAGGATCAGATATCTGGTTTACCAAGTACAGCAGGCAGGTGGGTTTTGGCAGCCTGAGGACCATCCTCCAACAAAGAATAGCAGATGCTGGCAGCTGGGAGGAAAGGCATGCAACTAGGATAAATGGAGAGATCAGAGGGAGTGTGGGCAGATTCCACCTGCCATACTTCTCAGAGGAGCAGACTGGATCTAATTTGATCTCTCCTGATTTTATCTATAATTGCTCAATGCTAAACTCCTCTGAGAGGAAGTGAAACACTTAAAACACCCTCTTCACTAGCAGCCAGCTTACCAGCCTTAAAACAATTGTGACCAGGTTGCAGGAACAGGGAGAGACGACGTTAGCAAAGCTAATTTCTTTCTCAAAAAGTAAGTAGTCTGTTGCTAAAAATTTTTACTAAGCTGGTGATGTGTGAATGTGCATGGGTACTTAATTGTGTTTTAGAAAATGGTGAATGTAAGTTTTGAGGAAGTAAATGTTCCCTGCTTTTCTTCTTTTGTGGGAATCTCCCCAAATTACAAAAATAAGTTTCAATAATAATGTATTTGATTTTTTTAAAAATTAGATTTATTGAGGTATAATTTATATACTGAAAAAATAACCCTTTGAAGCGTATAGTTCTCTGAGTTTTAACAAATGTTTATAGTTGTACAGTCATCACTACAACCAAGACATAGAACAATTCCATCAAAACAAGAAGTTCCCTTCCATCTCTCTGTGCCTTTCTCTTCCCTATGCCTAACTCTTGGCAACCACTGGTCTGATTTCTGTCTCTACAGTTTTGCCTTTCCAGAATATCATGTAAATGAAATTACTCACTTGGCATATTTCATGTCTGGTTTCTTTCTCTTGGCATAATACTTTTGAGATTTACCCATATTATGCACAACAGTGGGTATTAATATAGCGAAACCATTCATTTTTATTACTAAGTAGTAATCTTGGTATGACTATACCGAGATTTGTTTATCCAGTCACCAGACATTGGGATGATTTCCACTTTTGGGCTATTATGCATATTGCTGCTGTGAATATTTGTGTACAAGTTTTTGTGTGGATATATGTTTTCATTCTCTTGGGCATATATCTTAGAATGAAATTGCTAGGTCATATAGTAACTTTTTAAAAAAGATTTCTCTTTAGTTAAAACCTACTTATACTTATATTTTACTTCTGAGATATAAAAATAAGCAAGTTCTTCAATTTAAAATGGGAAAAGATTGTCAGCGGAAATTCAGAAGAGGAAACACAATAAGCAAATAAATATATGAAAATTAAACACTACAGCACATTTTTTTTAAAATGGGAATTAAACAGCAATAGGACTTTATTTGTGTTGAAAGTTTATCTGTGTTGAGGGTTCTGAGCTGGGAGGTTTTTGGGCATTCTCATGCTCTGTTGGTTGGCATATATTTGAAATAATCTTTGGGAGGGCCTTTGGCAATATGAGTCAAAAACCTTTTAAGTAATACATAATCTGACTCAGTAATTTTGCATTAGAAATCTATCTTAGGGAAATTAGTATGTTCTCTAATATTTAGGTGACTAGATGCAGAATGGCTTATATAATATCGAAAAACCCAGAAACAATGTAAATGCCCCACAATAGGGTGGTTAATGAGTAATTTAATGTCCTTCCTTAGACTACTCTGAAACAATTAATAATTTTGTGAAAGTGTATTCATCTTGAAAAGGAAGAGTGGTTATAATGTATTTTTAAATAGGAAATTATAGCCCTGACTGGCTTGGCTCAGTGGATAGAGCATCAGCCTGTGGACTAAAGGGTCCCAGGTTCGATTCTGGCCAAGGGCACATGCCTGGGTTGTGGGCTCTATCCCCAGCATGCAGGAGGCAGCTGATCAATGATTCTCTCTCATCATTGATGTTTCTATCTCTCTCTCCTCCCTTCCTCTCTGAAATCAATAAAGAAATATATTTTAATAAATAAATAAATAGGAAATTATAAATAGTATGTACATTTTTAATTAAAATAACTACATGAGTCATTTAGGATGCATTTAGTTATAAGTAATAAAGCACTCAATTTATACTGACTTCAACAAGCAAATTTTTTGGTTCATATAACTAGAAGCTCCAGAAGTAAGACAGATATTGGTGTTAATTTAATTTAGCAGCTCAGAATGTTCTTTAACTGAATTTCTTTTTATATCTCTTTTTGCCTTCTGCACCATCTGCTTTCACCTGAAAGTGATTTTTCTTGCCATGGCAAGATGGCCACCAATAGCTCCCAGAGCCATTTTGTTCAAACCCAGAGGAGCGTCTCTCCTCCAGCCTTTAGCAGGAATCCTAGGCTTCCCTCTGATTGGATCATCTTGATCATGTGCTTTTCTGAGCAACGAGGGGGAATGCTTTGTATTGCTTGGGTTAGGTCTGGGTTAGGTGCTGGTCCTTAAAATAAGCATTGTGTCAAGGTCATATGATTATTGAAATTTTGTTTAGTGAAATCAGGAACTAGGCAGAGCTGGGGATAAGGTTAATCCCTGTTCCACACTGGTGTGGGGTGGAATGGATGTTGAGAGCTCATCCTAAGATTCACCTCACCACAGAAAAGAGCCAGATGGATGTTCAACAAACTGTTAACTGTAGTTACTTTCAGGTGATGAAATTATAAGGAATTTTAAATTTTCTTTGTTATGCTTATCTGTATTTTACATTTTTGACAATAAACATATTACTTTGATAACTTCAAAAAGAAACAAAGGCTATAAATATGAGGAGAAGCTGGTGTGGAACATTTATAATTAGTAGCTTGAGGGAGTTAAAGCAGACATGTTGGTCAACAGGAACTATGAGTTTTCATAATGATACCAACTGTGCTTTGCAGAAGCTTCTAACTTCCTTTCTCTTGCTTCTGTTATGAAACTGTGGCCATTTCCTATAGGAGTAGTCCGAGATCTTTGAAAGTTAGTTTGGCTTAAAACCATTGGTTGCAATGGCTTGAATGTTTCCCTTATGTTAGGGTGGGGAAACCTTTTCGCTTTCTCTAGAGACATTTTTTCCTTGTCACCTTTAAATGCCGTCAAGTGGGTCCCAACCCCAAAAGGGTGCAGAGAACATGCCTCTCTTTGTAGAGGGTCACTGTGTACAGAAGGGGAGGCGCTGGCCCCCTGGGTTCTCCCGCTCCCTTCTTGGAGAGAAGACGCTAAGTGCTCTTTCAGGAAGTGGCTGTCATCGAGGTCAGGAAACTCTCCATGCAGTGAATCACAGTGTGACACTGGCTGCAGGCACCACTGAAGGGGCCCCAGCTCTGAAGACTCAGGGCCCTGGGAGAATGTGAAATGAGGCAAGTCTCTTGATTCACTTCTACTACCTGCTGGGCATTGGGAGTTCTTCCTGGGATTCACAAAGAAACTCCTGCTGCTCTCCCACAAACTGTCTCCTGGAAAGAGAACTCATTTTTTTTTTTTTTTTTCCTTTCATTGGCAGGAAAGATCTCCATTGGGAAAGGTAAGGATTTTTCATGTCAATCTAGATATCTCATTTCTCACTTTTATTTCTGTGTGAAACTGGTTCTCAGTGTTATAGTTTCAGAAATTTGATTTTATTTGATGCTGCCTTTCTGGAATTATTCTATTGTGATGGTAAGCAATAAACTGGCATCTTAGTTTCATAATGAGAGGTACACTTACCAAAAAGATCAGAATGCTCCACTTGGTCTCGGTAGGAAAATATGTGGGAGAGGAAATGAGGCTAGAAGGTGGACACTGGGTGGTCTAAAGGAGCCAGTCTGTGTGTCTACTGGTAATATCATTCACACCCCACCAGAATGTAACCTTCACTCAAGTACGAACATTTTTGTCTTGTTTGATGTATCCACAGCATGAAGGACAGTTAGAGTCACTCGACACATCCTAATATATAAAAAGTCAGGGGCTGTCATAACCGAAACAACCGAATGGATGACTGAACATCAGACTGTGTGGAGCGACCAGGCCAGTAGAGGGGTTAGTGAGGGATGACCAAATGACTGAACAGCAGGCTGCATGGGGCAACCAGGCTGACAGGGGGGCCGTTGGGGGCAACCAGGCCAGCGGGGGAGAGGGGACAGTGAGGGGCAACCAGGCTGGTGGGGAGGGCAGTTAGGGGTGACCAGGCCAGCAGAGGGAGGCAGTTGGGGGCAACCAGGCCAGCGGCGGTGGGGGGGGAGCAGTTGGGGGTGACCAGGCTGGCAGGGGGGGGGGGCAGTAGGGAGCAACCAGGCTGTTGGGGGTGGGAGGGAGGCCAGGCCGGCAGAGGGGGCAGTTGGGGGCAACCAGGCCAGTGGGGGGGCAGTTGGGGGCAACCAGGAGGGTAGAGGGGGAAAGTTGGGGGTGACCAAACCAATAGGAGGGGCAGTTAGGGGCGATCAGGCTGGCAGGCAGAAGTGGTTAGGGGTGATCAGGCTGGCAGGGGGGAAGTTAGGGGTGATCAGGCAGGCAGGCAGGTGAGCAGTTAGGAGCCAGTGGGCCCTAGGGGTCCTGGATTGGAGAGAGTGCAGGCTGGGCTTAGGGGACCCCCTTCCACATGCATGAATTTCGTGCACTGGGCCTTTAGTATGTGATGAATAAATGAATGGAAGGCCAGCTGGATGAATGAATTATTTTTTTCTATTGTCACTGTCCTCTGCAAAGTTTTCTCTAACTTTTCTAGGAATATTAGACTCCTTCCTTTGGGTTTCCATGGTACTTTGAATTAAAGCACTTTACTTATAGTATTGAAACTATTTGCTTACATATCTATCTTGTTTAAATGACTGTGAGCTCCACAAATGTAGGGATTCTGCCTTTTTTTCACTTAACTAACTGGAGACACTTCATAGTACTCTGACACATAGTAGATATTCATTGAATAAAATAATAATACTGTGGAAACCTCCTGAATATCTCTCAGCTAATGGGATCTACTGGTTCAGTGGATCAGGATATTCCACTCAACAGGACCTGTTTTTCTTCAATGTTGGTAATGCATTATTAACTTAATACTCATTGCTTCCAAATGAACAAGCATCTTTTATTTTCTTTTTTAATTTTTTTTTCCCAGTTGATCAGCATAGCCAGGTTTTCTCTCCAGGTTCTCTAGCTAGGTTCTTTTTTTAAAAAAATTAATTAATTAATTTATTTTTTATTGTTTTATTGCTTAAAGTATTACAAAGAGTATTACATATGTTTCCTTTTTTCCCCTGCCCTTGACAATCCCCTGGGCTCCCCTACCCCCCAGTGCCTTATGCCCATTGGTTATGCTTATATGCATGCATACAAGTCCTTCGGTTGATCTCTTACACCACCCCCTCCTGCCCCCGAACCCTCCCCGGCCTTCCCCCCGTAGTTTGACAGTTTGTTCCAGGCGGCTCTGCCTCTGTATCTATTTTTGTTCATAAGTTTATAATGGTTTTTATTATCCATAAATGAGTGAGATCATGTGGTATTTTTCCTTCATTGACTAGCTTATTTCACTTAGCATAATGCTCTCCAGTTCCATCCATGCTGTTGCAAATGGTAAGAGTTCCTTCTTTTTTACAGCAGCATAGTATTCCATTGTGTAGATGTATCACAGTTTTCTAATCCATTCATCTAATGATGGGCACTTAGGCTGTTTCCAGATCTTAGCTATGGTAAATTGTGCTGCTATGAACATAGGGGTGCATATATCCTTTCTGATTGGTGTTTCTGGTTTCTTGGGATATATTCCTAGAAGTGGGATCACAGGGTCAAATGGGAGTTCCATTTTCAGTTTTTTGAGGAAACTCCATACTGTCTTCCATAGTGGCTGCACCAGTCTGCATTCCCACCAGCAGTGCATGAGTGTTCCTTTTTCTCCACATCCTCTCCAGCACTTGCTGTTTGTTGATTTGTTGATGATAGCCAATCTGACAGGTGTGAGATGGTACCTCATTGTTGTTTTGATTTGCATCTCTCAGATGATTAGTGACTTTGAGCATGTTTTCATATGTCTCTTGGCTTTCTGAATGTCCTCTTTTGAAAGGTGCCTATTTAGGTCCTTTGCCCATTTTTGATTGGATTGTTTATCTTCCTTTTGTTAAGTTGTATGAGTTCCCTATAAATCTTGGAGATTAAACCCTTATCGGTGATAACATTGGCAAATATGTTTTCCCAATGCAGTGGGCTTTCTTGTTGTTTTGTTGATGGTTTATTTGCTGTGCAGAAGCTTTTTATTTTGATGTAGTCCCATTTGTTTATTTTCTCTTTAGTTTCCAATGCCCTAGGATCTGTATCAGTGAAGAAATTGCTTCAGCATGTCTGAGATTTTGTTGCCTTTGGATTCTTCTAGTATTTTTATGGTTTCCCGTCATACATTTAAGTCTTTTATCCATTTTGAGTTTATATTTGTGTATGGTGTAAGTTGGTGGTCTAATTTCATTTTTTTGCATGTATCTGTCCAATTTTCCCAACACCATTTATTGAAGAGACTATCTTGACTCCATTGTATGTTCTTGCTTCCTTTGTCAAATATTAATTGAGCATATTGGTTCGGGCCGATATCTGGCTCTCTATTCTATTCCATTGATCTATATGTCTGTTCTTGTGCCAGTACCAGGCAGTTTTGAGAACAGTGGCTTTGTAATACAGCTTGATATCTGGTATTGAGATCCCACCTACTTTGTTCTTTCTCAGGATTGCTGCAGCTATTCGGGGTCTTTTTTATTCCAGATGAATTTTTGGAGAGTTCGTTCTAGGTCTGTGAAATATGCCGTTGGTATTTTAATGGGAAGTGCGTTGAATTTATAGATTACTTTGGGTAGTATGGACATCTTAATGATGTTGATTCTACCAATCTAAGAACATGGTATGTTCTTCCATCTGTTTATGTCTTCCTCTCTCTCTTTTTCAATGTCCTGTAGTTTTCTGAGTAGAGGTCTTTCACCTCTTTAGTTAAGTTTATTCCTAGGTAGCTTAATTTTTTTGGTGCGATGGTAAATGGGATTGTTTTTTTAGTCTCTCTTTCTGTAAGTTCACTATTGGTGTATAGAAATGCCATAGATTTCTTGGCATTAATTTTGTATCCTGCTACGTTTCCAAATTCATGTATTAAGTCTAGTAGTTTTTTGATGGAGTCTTTAGGGATTTTTATGTATAATATCATGTCATCTGCAAATAAGGACAGTTTTACTTCTTCTTTTCCAATTTGGATGCCTTTTATTTCTTCTTCTTGTCTAATTGCAATGGCTAATACTTCCAGTACTATGCCGAACAAGAGTGGTGAGAGTGGACATCCCTGTCTTGTTCCTGTTCTTAGGGGAAATGGTGTTAGTTTTTGTCCATTGAGTATGATGTTGGCTGTGGGCCTGTCATATATGGCTTTTATTATGTTGAGGTATGATCCTTCTATTCCCACCTTGCTGAAAGTTTTTATCAAAAATGGGTGTTGAATTTTGTCAAATGCTTTTTCTGCATCAATTGATATGACTATGTGGTTTGTTTTTTTCAATTTGTTTATGTGATGTATCACGTTTATTGATTTGCGGATATTGTACCATCCTTGCATCCCTGGGATAAATCCTACTTGGTCATGGTGTATGATCTTTCTGATGTACTGCTGGATCCGATTTGCTAAGATTTTGTTGAGGATTTTGGCATCTATGTTCATGAGGGATATTGGCCTGTAATTCTCTTTCATTGTGTTGTCTTTACCTGGTTTTGGTATTAGGGTGATGCTGGCTTCATAGAATGAGCTTGGCAGTGTTCCTTCCTCTTGAATTTTTTGTAGTAGTCTGAGGAGGATAGGTTTTAGTTCTTCCTTGAATGTTTGCTAAAACTCCCCTGTGATGCCGTCTGGTCCTGGGTTTTGTTTGCTGGAAGCTTTTAGATGACTGCTTCAATTTCTTCCATAGTTATTGGCCTGTTGAGATTTTTAGATTCTTCCTGATTGAGTTTTTGAATGTTGTATTTTTCTAGGAATATGTCCATTTCCTCCAGGTTGTCTAGTTTTTTAGAGTAGAGTTGTCCATAGTATTTTTTAACAATCATTTGTATTTCTGTGGGGTCTGTTGTTATTTCGCCTCTATCGTTTCTGATTTTGTTTATTTGGGTCCTCTCTCTTTGCTTCTTGGTGAGCCTGGCTAGAGGTTCATCAATCTTGTTTATCCTTTCAAAGAACCAGCTCTTGGTTTCATTGATTTTATGTATTGTTTTTTTTTGGTCTCTATGTCATTTATTTCTGCTCTAATCTTTATTATCTCCTTCCTTCTGCTCACTCTGGGCTTTTCTTGTTGCTCTCTTTCTAATTCTTTGAGATGTAGATTTAGATGATTTACTACCATTTCTTTTTGTTTGTTGAGATAGGCCTGTAGAGCTATAAACTTCCCTCTCAGGACTGCTTTCATTGTGTCCCATAGGTTTTGGATTGTTGTGTTTTCATTGTCATTAGTTTCCAGGATGTTTTTAATTTCTTCTTGATCTCATTGGTAACCCAAACAATATTTAATAACATGCTATTCAGCTTCCAAGTGT